ACGAGTGCTTCTACCGCTGATCTTTCAATGGTATATATTTGTACGCAGAAATTGGAGAAGAGAGGGAAGGACGATGTTGCATCATCAAGTATTTTAAAGGTATTGTCTTGTTTTTGATGTTGATTTTCACGTTTATTATATCGAAGTTAAAGTTTTACTTGAAGAGTTTGAAATTGAATTATCACACCCAAGTGAAGTCATCTGAGAATAAAACACTGATGACTTTTTTTCAGAACAAAGCATTTTTACTAAAAATAGACGAACTATTGACTGAGACCAATTCTAATTATCCCATAAACTATTCTATCAAACTAGAGCAAACTAGATATTTAACTGTACTAATAATGACATTGTAGGAGAAATGGCTTAATACCCTTCTCGTTTGATGAGAAAAATTTTGATTATCAGGAAGATCTTATTATTGTTTAGATATAGTTGTGCAGAAACTTTTAGTTAATCTCTCATCCAAATTTAATCGTATAAAGACTTTTATTATAAATTAATATAACATATGAGGCAAGAATACGATTTAGTCATAATACTTCAGATAAACGTCATACATGGCACATTCGACCATAAATACCTACATTTAAAATATATTTTTAATTTAATTCACACTGTTTTAATAGATGCATCTGATCATTGACAAATGCTTAGATCGATACCATTGACGGGGTTTCAGCGAGGCAATTGCTCCTTCTGAAAAAAAATATCAAAGGCGACAAGTAGTTATTACTGTGATTGCCGGTGAGAATTATATTTCGTAGCAGTGTATTTTCTTCAAATTTGAAGTAAAAAAAGACCAATGCTTGATTAAAAAAATTACGCAAATCTCTGGGAAGTACGTGTCTACATGTACCAACGCCCTACAAAAAGTTTCTCGGCACACTCTTGATCGATACAATAAACAATAGATACCTCAACTTAGTTTACCAATATTTCATATTCTTTTCAGGTGGCGGGTATAGTGTATTCAGACCCATTGAATATAAACGTTTAAAACTTTACGTGTAGGGTCAATAAAGACAACAGCCGGACTATTACCAGTTTGTGATTCAGCTAAACGTGGTAATGCCAACGAGTATCGTCATCTTCTCATGTTATATTGAGGAATGCTCAATTTTTAAATCTCATTTTTTTAAATAAAATTGCGCAAAAACAATTTTTGTGCGTTTGAAATTTTTTCATATCACAGAATGAACAAGCAAAATTTTTCAGAAGCTTTTCCATAACGTTTTACACAAGTTTACCTTCAAAAAAAACCATTAATATAGGACCTTTTAAGCATAAAGTTAAACATAAATGTATCCCAGTTGTGTAATTTGGGAACAGAGGGTGAATCTTCGTTATAAATATGTTAGATGAACATTGTAAAAATAACTAGAGTATTCCAGCTTTATTGATTTAAACTTTATTTACCTAAAGAGAGAAAACACCAGCGTATACCGAGGTTCACATTATAAGCATTTTCACTACTCTCCGTGATTTGGAGAAGAAAAAACACGGAAAGAGGTAGCTATAATGAAGAAACAGGAGAAAGATGCAGTGAGATTAGGTCCAGCACTAGCGCGGAAACCTATCCAAGTGATACCTTCCGATTTCGTTCGTTCGTACGTCGATCGATAGAGGGTATTGAGCTAGTAAAAAGCCTAAAAGCTAACGGCTCTTGAAGATCCGATTTTCTGTAAAACCAGTTTTTCAAGAACTCTAAAAAATAATCGAAAACTTTTTTTAATGAGGCATGATTGTAGCCCGCAAATTTCTGATTGAAATGAGACACCTCCCAGCACTACACGACCTTTCTCTGCAAAGTTATACAATTTACAAAAAAAGCCCCAAATATTCATTGTCGGCTCAAAACTACAGAAATAAGAAGAAATTAATTTAGGGCTTTTCTTGTAAATTGTATAACTTTGCAAAGAAAGGTCGTGTAGTGCTGGGAGGTGTCTCATTTTAATCAGAAATTTGGGGGCTAAATCATACCTCATTAAAAAAAAAGTTTTCAGTTATTTTTTAGAGTTCTTGAAAAACTGATTTTACAGAAAATCGGATCTTCAAGAGCCGTCAGCAGATATCCTTTTAGGCTTTTTACCAGCTCGATACCCTCTATCGATCGACGTATGAACGAACGAAATCGGAAGGTATCACTTGGATAGGTTGATCGCAAGGGCAGAACATGTTTGGTGTTTAATATAACCGGCAAACTGCGTCAAACTTTGTTAGTATTCACAATAAAGTGGTACACAACATCAAGTATAAACTGCATTGAGTCAGTAGCAAGAGATGAACCGTTTAGAAGTAAAACTTTCGATGTTGTAGTTGTAGTTAAAACGTTGATCTTTATTAGAAGGAGGGTTCTCTCAGTCGTGTACGGACCATAAGCAAAGAAATAATCCTCAATGGTTTCATCATAATGTCCACAGGGACAAATTACAGATGGAACACAGTTTCTTTTAAACAGATTGAAGTTTAACTGAGGAAAACCGATTTTAAAACGCATAAAGAGGATTTCCGCAGAACGAGAAGGAAATTTTAGAGCTTTTGGAAATGTATGATCACGTTTCATTAAGATTCTACTTGTTAAGTACTGACGTAAAACATTTGGTTTGAGAAGCCGTGGAGAAGGTGAAAGCTTTCCGATTTCATCCCATTCTCGTGCAGCAAAAAAATAATCTTTTAAAAACAGCAACAGGTTCAATACGATTATATGCATTACTCCTTAAATTGTGGAATGTGTTTTTAGGCCATACTCGTAAGTGTGCCGTCAAATAATCTGGTGTTAGTTCACGAACTATTCTCGAAAAAGTAACCAAGCGAAAAATTTTAAAATGATCATATAAATTAAGCCAGTTTAAAACTGTCAGAGTTTTTTCACAAGAGGAACCATTTAGAACACCTACAACTGTCACGACTGCTTGGTAGTAAACAGATTCTAATTTGTTGAGGTTAGTTTCGGATGTCAAGGAGTAAACAATGCAACCGTAATTTAGCATTAGACGAAGAAATGATTTATAAACAATTTCCAGAGTATTTTTATTCAAAAGCCATTTATAATATATCATAAGTCCTATGGTTGAGTTAGCACGCGAACATAGGTATCCAATATGGAAAGTCCACGAGAGATCGAAAGAGAACTTGAGACCCATATATTTCATCTCTTGAAATTCTTTGATTGGAACAGTACATAACATTAGCGAAGGTAGACGGACAGATTTACCACGTTGCCTACTGCTGCAAAAAGTGATAGCTTCGCATTCTTTATAATTAAGAAGAATATGCTATTTTTGAGACCAATTCTGAATCTTTACTTAATCATCATTTATTAGGTTTGGTACTACTGAAGGGTCTCTGTCATGATAGAATAAAATGGCATCAACGACGAATAATTTTATCGAACTTGGAATGCCAATTGGTAAATCATCAATATATATATATGAGGAATAGAAGAGGTCTAATGACGGATCTCTGCGGAACCCCCTTTCACCTTTATACCTTTTTTTCTCTAATTTCATCAAAAGACTCTGGTGGCTAACAGTATCGAATGCTTTTTGAAAATCCAAGAGATACTCTCCAAGAATAGCTCTTACTATTCTCACCATTCCAGTATTAATTTTATGTACAACATTTAGAAGAAGATTGGTCATACCATCTTTTGCAACAAGGTCCGATCGAAAGACACTTACGACATTTATTCTTTATTAACCAGTCGCACACCTGCTTGCGCAAGATTTTATCACAAACTTTCGACATAGCTAGAAGAAGAGTAGTAAGTCTGTAACTATTAGAACGAGACTCTCGCCGGATTTTAACAAAGGATTTACAAGACCTTTTTTCCAATGATAAGGATATGCGCACGTACTAACAGAATGTTGAATTATATTGGTGGCTGAAGACGAGATAGAAGCCTCCAGATTTTCCAAAATACAACTATTAATAGGACCAGAAGAGGCTTTATGGCAGTTCGGTTTTTGCAAGATGTTGTTGACTTCTAATCAAGAGATAGAAAAAGACTTCAGCTCCGTAGATGCGTTTGATAAAGAATTGACAGCTGATTGTGGTATAAAGGATACTGTCCATGTACAAATTTCAGCAAAATGTTCATTGAGAATATCAAGTCTATTACTCATATCAGTAACTATCATTTTACTGGTGTTCCACAAGGCAGGAATAACCGTGAGTCTAACACGCTTCATACTATACTTAATAAGAGACCACTATGGCTTAGATGACGTAGATATTTTATCATTTTTACTATAAAAACTAGTTTTCACTGCTTCACAAACGTTTATAAATGTTTGATGAGTTAGATCATACTTTTGCTCATTAGCTTGTGTTTGATTATGTTTATACTCTTTGTACGACTTAACTTTTTATTGTATAGACGCCTTAGATCGTTAGTGAAGCATATCTTATCTCTAGATTTCATACTTATTGTTTTGTGTGGTATAAAACCATTAATTTGATCTAGAATAATTTCTTCAGTCGCATCTACTTACTCGTTACCACAATTCTAATTTTTTAAAATCGTTTGTAAATGAATAGTGTATAGCCTCTCATTAATTCTATTTTAGTCAGTTAGCTTATAATCATAAATGACGGCATATCCCTTGGTTCAGTTTTTTTAGATCATAACAACTAAGATCATCATAGGATCTTAAGATCTTAATAGAAAATAGATAGGAAGTGCACAGAATTTTGTAACTAGAGGTCTGCTCTCTTTTAAAGAAAAACTTTAAATTTTATTAGAGTGGTTATAGAGAGGTTAAGAGAAAAACAGAATGTTCTGTTATTTTTGATGGTACAACAATAAATAGCTTTGTATCTGTCTGATTAAATATCCACTAACAACCAACGAATATATAGTTACCTTTTATTAGTTTATCTTATTTGTTTCGGCTACCCACGAAAAAAACCGAACTATGTGATCATAATCTCAAGTACTTCAGAAGAAAGATTCAAATTATGAAATTATCTATAATATTTATTCCACGGTAGCCAATATGGTATTTTTTTCCTTAGTGTTCGTTCATTTATCTCAAGAATACTGATGACCAATGACAGAAATGAATTCGATCAAATCGCAAATCAAATACATATTTATTCGTCCAGAAAGTAGAGACGAGTCAACATCTACAGAAAGAAGAAGAAGAAGATAAACTCAATGAAATAAATGTTTTTAAGCTCATACTAACGAAAGAAAAGTTAGAAACATACAAGCATTGATTGGCTGAAAATTATATGTGCAAACAACTGACGAAGAATTAACAAAAATATACGTGCCATTTTTTCCTCTACCTAATAACTCTAATCTCTCTTCGTTCTTTTCATTTATATTCGCGGTTATTATCTATGACGGGATATTTTTGTCTTATAGATGAGATATATGAAAGACATTAACAATGCATGCTTTAAAAAAAAAGAACTCCGATAACGATGATGATGATTACTATTATAGATAATAAATAATGATGACATGATACGTAGCGTATACAGCTCTCTTTCTCTTCGTCTTTCTCTCTATCTCTCTCTGTCTCTCTTTCTTTCTCACTTCGCTTTATACCTTTTTCTTCTCATTTTCTGATGAATTGCGTATATCTAACTGATATTGCCCGTCATCGTTGATTATAATCGATCTTTTATCTGTTCGACAGCCACCAACTTATAATTACTTAAAATTTATTAGTGTCATTATTATTTGTTTCACTAAGTGATATTATAAAATAATTTTAGATCTTGATGTCTTTTACACGAAAAGTTCATTATTTTAAAAGTGACATAATCTAACATAATCAAACTTTACAAATGGCCCATCGCGTAAGTTTTTAACCTATGTGTCTCATATCATCCATGACTCAGATATTTACTACTGACAATAAACGAATATAGATTTACTAGTAGAATAATACTTTATCTTATGGAATGTCTCGTTGCTTTCTAACAAACCAAGACAAGATTTTGAATATCAAGACCAATTTGATGATATTTTTATTTAAGACAAAATTTATTTATCGTTATAGAAAACTGATGAATAATATTGATCAATACGCGTTGTCTATCACTTTTAAAAATGTCAATCCCTACTTAGCGTTGATGACATTTAAGTCATATTAAATTTAAAAATTCAACTTAGATATGTGTATAAAATCATATTTTATTTCTCTTTAGTTCGAAGCCAATAGTGAATCTTATTTAGCGACACTGAGCTCAACTGCTTCATATTCTAATGGTCTTGGTTCAGAAAATGGTTATGAACAACATCCGTTATCAACTAATCTTTATAATCAACTATCACATTCGTATGCACTATCATCAACATCAAACACTAATTCTGATACAGCGATGAAAATGGAAAAAGATCTTATTTACAGGTAATTTCAAATCATAAAAAAGTATTGTCTTTTTGATTTTGCTTCATTCAATTAACTCTAATTTGTCTTTTGAGTATTTAAAATAACATTTCTTATGAACTCTTCAATTGTTACCGAATAAACTCAAGTATTTGTGAAAGTTTTTCAAGAATAAACATGAATCTGTCAAGTAGTTCCTTATTCTCATCGATCGATATCATCAGGGTGTCGTTAATGTATCTTGATAAACGATTGAAATAACTTATCAACAGTTTAACATATTGTTGTTAATCGTAAACAATATAGAAATATTTGAGTACTCATTTGGGATTCAAAAACATTTGATATTTATCTTTACAATTCTAAAATAATATATTATTACATTTTCTTATGCTTCTTTTTAGTCATCCGTTATTTCCGTTATTGGCTGTTATATTTGATAAATGTGAATTAGCAACGTGTTGTTCCAGAGAATCAGGAAATTCAAATTATGTCTGTTCATTATCGTCATTTAACGACGATATTAATGAATTTACAAAACAGGTACAATTTTCTACATGCGCTGTCCAAAAGGATGTGAGATCTGATCAATTTGGTTTAGTTCTAGAAATAACGCCCATATTCTCTTTTAAGATTTAACATAGAGCTAAAGTTAAGAATTTCTGGTTTATTTGAGGAAATAGTTACTAAATCCATACGGATTTCGAACACAGTGAAAATAGTGGAACTATTTCAAATGAGTCGTCTTTGTTCATAGTTGTGAAACTAATTGCTTAGGAAAAGAGCACTTCAAAGTTTATGAATAAGTTACAAACGACAAATCGAACAAAATTGACATTTTTGACTCAGGAGAGAGAGGGATGTCCTTCAATATATCTTATGAAACTATCACTATAGTTATTAGAATGTAAGATGCATCCTCCTATTAATTTTCAATTAGTTATTCAAGCCGTTGGACAACTCTATATCCTTGTACATTTTATTACAACTGAATTAGATGAGAATGCTACTGCTGCTATTAAGATCAAGTGCTATTGCACAAATTCATTCGTCATTCTTGACATGTAATATTGATCCTCTATTTTTGTAACCTGTAGTGCGTTACGCATGTTCATATTGTAAAAAAGTTATTGAGCAATATTTTTCATTAAACTCATGTTTCACCGCAGGAGTAACTTTTCGACTTTCTATTGATACTTAAGGATCTTGTCAATCAGTTTATTGTCGTTTAAAGAGCATGTAGGCACTTAATATTCTTATCTTATTGCTTTAGACTATTGTTATATTGAGATTATGTGATAGGAAATCAATTTTTTTTAAAATTAAATGTTTTTTAAAATTAAATGTTTTTTAAAATTATATGTTTTTTAAGAGTAGCTGAATTAGTGTATTTCTTAAGTTTAGCATCGAACTGATTTTGATGATTGTATCGTAATCGACTACTGGTATATCTTTCTTTAAATATTTCTACTAATTAAAATCATCATTTATTAGTTGTGCGATAAGCATCAACTTATTTTTAATTGACCTGATGATCATTTCACTCTTAAATAAATAATAAAATCCATTCTACAATGAAAATCCACTTAATATATTTCGGTTTTATTTTTTAGTTGAGAAAAGAATGTTCTTCATATTCATCGACCGACGAATTAGATAATTTGGTAAGTATTATTTTCTCATGTGCGACTATCTGTAGTATAATTACACTTAGTTGTACTGAAAATACAGACAAGCAGTAAATATAATTATAGTTATTATTATGCGTATAAGTCCATTATCTATGTCTGGTTTGGTTACCTTCTGAGTTATAATTGATGCCTTATCCGAGAACAAGTACCCAAATACTTCTTTCAGTTACACTAAGGGTGGATTACTGTCTGCTTTCATTTAAACACACTAACACTTCGAAGAATTATCACTAATCACTTGATCTAATTGCGATACCAAATAAAACCAAGAAAAAAATCTATACTTATAGAACGAGTAACAAGTGCAGCGTACTTTCTTTATTTCTTAGACGATGATGTTGTAAAAAAAAACGGACCTACGATATTCTATTTAATAACCTTTTTCTTTAGATGATACAAGCAATCCAAGTACTTCGATTCCATTTACTTGAACTTGAAAAAGTGTGTATTCAAATTTTTCTTCAGAATTTTCTTGTGATTGATAAGATATTTTGCTTCCGTTTAAGGTACACGAATTGTGTGATAATTTTTGCCAACGTTATATAGGTCTGTTAAAGGGCAAAATGCCTATGGATATCGTGTTAAACGATCGAGATACGAGTTTTTCGAAATCAGACGATGAACAAAGTCAAGATGGATCAAAAGCAAGTGACGACTTTGAAGATATTAAACCGGTAAGAAACAAATCTCATAGTTTGATGTTGTATGAAAAGCATTTTGAAAGAGCTTCATTCTATAGTATGTACCTTATTGGTCATTAATTATTGAACATTTTACCCACTATCTGTTTGTTGCTATTTTAAATGTGATGTGTTATGTGAAGATTTTTGCTTGAAGAAATAAAAAAGATGTACATCAATGATAAACAGATAATTATGATGGGATGAAATAACAAAAACATCTATGGATATATTGGTTAGAGATGATGATCATAATTTTTTAATGGCAACTTGTGTGTGTATGTATGTGTGTGTGTGTGTACGTGTACGTGATGTGATATTAATCACTTTCCTCACCTTTTAATTGTATATAGAGAATCAGGTATATAGAGAACAATAGAAATAGAATATAGACTAAAACGAGAAAAGATTTCATCCATTTAGTCATCTTTCATATTGACTAAAATATTCTACGCTATAGTTGCTGTACTATAATCTTACTGTTTTCCATCGAATGCCATAAGAACGGCGGTATTCGAAAATATTTTCCAATCTTCAAGAAATTATATAAATACAGCAGTTAAAACTATTCAAAAGTTTAATGAACTTCAGCGTATTTTATATTTATCTATTTTGTTGAAAGGCCTAGACAATATTTATCAAGGAACTGAGCAATAATCCTTAAGGTTGCGCTATTTTTAGGTGCGTCCATCGTCCAGGTGTTCACTGACACCCACAAAACATAATATTGTTAGTCACATTCAACAACAACATTCAACCGGCTTGTCTATACAAGAAAGAATAACACCTAGGCCAAGTCCAAATAGCATCAATTTAGTTTCCCATTACACTGATAATATTAGTGAAGTGGATAAGAACAGTACGTTGAAACTATTGTCAAATAATCAAACAATTTTTAGTTGTTGTTTGTTATTCTAGGTGAAAATTTAGAAAGTTCAATTTGTTCTGGAGATGGTGAAGAAGAAAACGATGATTTAACAAAACGAAGGCAGAAAAAACGTGGTATTTTTCCAAAGTCAGCCACTAATATCATGCGAGCATGGCTATTTCAACATTTGAGTGTAAGTGACGTTTTTCTACATATACTATATGATCATAAATTCTCCTCTATCAATAGATTACTTATATACATTTTTAGACAGCATCATTGAGATTACATTTATCATTATCATAAAGTGTTACGTTTTTCCTCTTCTTTTTTTGAGATGAAAAGAAAAAAATATAAATAATCTCGTGTTACGTATTTAATAGTAACATGAAAAACAGAAATATTTGCGAAAAGTATTCGCTCTTGCGTTACTTGAAAAAAATTTATTGATATTTTCCTTTATGCGAACAATGTATGTCATTGATTGGAATAGATCTATTTTAATCAACTATCAGTCACCCTTGGCCTATCATTCTTTCAACTCCTATAGTTAGGCTACTTCTACTGTTTTCTGTTCCAATTGTACAATAAACTTCAAGTACCACCTTCTCTCTATTCCAATAAGAAAATAAATAAAAATATTATCAATATAATGCATAGTTGTAGCAGATCTCTGTCTAGATAATACTATTTTCTATGCTGAAAAATATTACTTTCTTTTCTCTTATTTGGTTTCAGCATCCTTATCCATCTGAAGAACAGAAAAAGTTATTAGCTACTGAAACAAATTTAACAAATTTACAAGTGAACAATTGGTAAGTAGTTAGTTTTTTCGTAAAAATTATTCATTCAAAAAGTCTTTATACATTCACGATCTTCATATTTTCGAATGATTGTGATGAGACGCTAATGTGAGATGCAATTGTCTTACGGGCTTTGTATGGTAAATGAGATTATAATAGAAGAGGGGATTATTTTTTTTAACTATTTGGTTGACAATCATCAAACGTTTTTCTAAATATGCATTCATTGATAATCATTACATGATAGAATGAAAAGTTATTAATGATAGACGACCACACACATAACGTTTGAGCATTCGCTCAACTATTTAAAAAGAAAAACGATAAATTTTGATCAACTCCGCCTCTTATGGTCACATGACACTATTTTATGTGCCAATGTGAAAGAGGAAAAAGATAACTAATCAAGTAAAATGAAGAGAGAAAAAAAAAGGCGAACTTCAAATTAAAAAGTCATTTTATTCTACACATATTACATTTCAAACAGAAATGTTTTTTTTTGCCTATATTTACAATATCTTTTGAAGATGAGACCGCGTAGCGGCGGCTCAATAAACTTTATTTGTCACGCAACAGTATTTTTTCAAAAATGAATATGGATGCAAAAAAACAATTGAAAATATTCAACGAAAACGAGTTGATCATGATTGAATTGTGATCCGCGCTCATGGTTAACTGCTGTATACCTACCTGTTAATCAACGTTTAGATTCATTCATGCACACAAAAAAATACTACATTTATGTGGAGTTAATCATCTATTGACATGGATGACAGGATGAGAGATTATAACACCTTTCTATTCATGATCGAACAGTTAACTATAATGATGTTGTGGAATTCAACATAGTTAAATATAAAAACTTTGGTGTCAATCAATTTACACAGAAACGTAATTGTTTCTCATCACAGTATCTCTTCTCTCTTTTCTCCATTAAACAGATCGAAAAGTCTATGCAAGCTCAAAAATAAGATTTAGGATGTTTTTCTACCTATTTGTAAATGAAATTAGAGTTAGAACTATGATTTTCAACAAGAAAGGAGCATTAAATCTAAAATGTAATTACAAAACCATCGTCGATAAACTTCGGTTGTATGCTCATCACAAGATGTACGAAATTACAGATGTTAGACGATAATTTTATCGGCTGCATAATAAACTTAAGAAATTGATTGACAACTGCTAATATTTCTAGTTGTGATGTAGGAAATGGACTAAACTTAAACATTCACTACGTCTTCTTGTACGAACTGTTGATAAAAAAAACAACTGATTCAATTCTGCTGTATGTGTGTATGTTTGAGATAAATATTATGAAGATATCCTGATAAGTACTTGATACATTTTTAAGATTTTATTTTTTCCTATAATGTATACATAAATAATTGAAAAAACTTATAGGGCGGAACGTGTACATACATACTCACGTATATAAACAGCTGCTCTTTTTTTTTGTTTTTTGCTGTTATTTCTCACCTTTTTGTCTAAACTTGTGGATATCGATGATGATGCTCAGTATTAAGGAATGTTATATTCTTCTTTTTTTTTTTGCAACATAAAGATCATTAATCATTTCTCGACTATAACGATTGTTGACAGGTATCAATCAACCGCATCAACTAAGCAAAGAACTCCGAACGATGATGAGAAAAAATGAATTTGTTCTTAATATAGAGCAGAGATGGTGATTAATAAAATGATAGAAAAATTTTAGTAGATTTCCATCTGTTTTTCTTTTTGAAGATCTAAAGCAATGAACGTTAAAATGACTGTTTCTCGAAAGAATACAGTTCCTTCGGCTGCCCAATCATCTAGAACATTTTCATGTTATAGTACTAAAAATTTAAAAAAATATCTACTAAAGTGTTGAATGAATTCGAGAAACGACCTACACATTTTTAATTTTCATCTTTTACTCGAAAAAAACCAGAGGATTCTTCATTTGTTTCATATAAGAAACTGATTGTGAAATCTCTGAAGAGCTCAAAACGAGATAGATCTTGAGCTTTTAAAGAACTCATATTGAGTTCTTTGCTTTTTAGAGAACTCATACGTGTTTTTTGGAAAATAGAAGAACTCATAAAGTAAACAACAGTTTTCTATATGAAACAAATGAAAAATTCATTCTCGTTGGTCTTTCGAGTATTCTAAAGCTTGAAGAAGAATATGTTTCTTTTATTGTGTATCCGGATGTTTAAAAAATGTTTTTCTCGTAGGTTCATCAATGCACGACGGAGAATCGTTCAACCAATGATTGATCAATCAAATCGCGCTGGTATGTTTTTTTTTTCAAAATTATTATTTCATTCTATTTGATAATAATTCTGTCATACTGTTCTTGAACACTATAGTTGAGAAGAGATAACTCATGCTCTTTCTCTCTCTCTGTTTCCATTTGTAGCCGCTACACAAAAAGGTTTGTATATGAATAAACTATACAAATTTGCATGATTAAGGTTATCACAAGAGGAGGAAAAAAATGTGGTGTGATTTGATGTATGCCTTTGGATATTTGCGTTTGATTATTTAAACTTTCGATAGTCGCTCATTTACAAACAGTTCTCTGTATCTACTTTTACATGCATCTTTAAATATCTTTATTATGATAATACTATTATAGTCTTGTTGAAAAATGACTTTTTTGTTTTAGTAATTACACCTGAATACAATGACTTTTTAACAAATAATCCGTATATTCCTGACGCTTTTTTTGATGCTTCTCGTCAATATGCTTATCAAACAGGTATAGGTGTATGGATGAAAGATTTAGACATTTAATTCTTACGAAAAATATATGTTAAATTTCAGATGTTTATGATGAAATAGCATCCAGCTATCCGTATGCATCGTACTGTTCATCAATACATCAAAATTCATTATTACCGAATCATCCACATCCGTCTTTATTAATGAATCATTCATCACTGAGTTCCTGCACTAAACATCAGAGTACTCCATCAACATTGAAACTCGGTTCTGTTTATCCAAACGGACTAGACGCAAGCCTAAAGTGATTTAAATTACTTACAAATATGAGCTCCTTCGACTCGTTAACGTGCTATATCTTTATCATGAATATCGAATATTAGAACTAACAATCTGCATTGAGGTCTTACTACAACCTTTATGAGCTCACTATTATCATATAAGTGGGCAATAATCGATATTGCCAATAAAAATTAGTCGCTGTAGACTAAAATTCAAACGCGTAGATTATTGTTTTTTGGATGTTTATAATTTTTCTTAACTCTATCTAGTTTTCTTGTTGCTATTTTGATCTTTTTCTATTAAAACTAACGATATGATTTCAAAATATTGAGAAAGCGTTGTATTCTGAAAAATAATAACAGGCAAAACTCCATTAATTAAAGCATTAAATATTGCCTTCACAGATTCGTGAAGAGCGATTTTTTACACTAAGCTAAAAAAAGGTCACTAGATTTTAAACATTACCATACCGTACCGTATAACTTATCGGTAAAAGAATGATCAAAATGCTGGCGTTTTTATCCTGAGAACAAGGCCCTCATTAAGTGAAACTTCAAAAATTAAACGGCTCATTCTTAATTGAGAACACTTTTTATAATTAAAGAAATAAAACTGATCTCAGTTTGGAAATGGCATATTCTATCAATTTTCAAAAGTGATATCAAATTGAGCTTTTAGTTCCTATTTTATTAAAATATGGATTCCTAAACTGTATATAATATAAATTATATATAATAGATAGAGTGAAGTAAAGGCTTTATAGCTTGTAGGTTCCACTTTATAGTGGATTCCTAAACTGTACATAATATAAATTGTATATAATACAGAGAAGTGAAGTGAAAGTCACATAATGATGCTGTATTGATTGCTGCCAAACAAAATTATATGTGTGATCATATAGATAGATTAGATCTAGAAGATTTACAGAAATTGTTAAGAGCATTAAGTCATCGTTACATCAAAGTGTTTGAGAATTCAAAAGAAGACGATGAATATGAACCAGAACAATGAGGATGACAACGTTAATTATTTTTGTATTTTCTTTCTGGTAAAAATAGTGTAAGAATCCATATTTTAATAAACTGGAACCTACAAGCTATAAAGCCTTTACTTCACTCTATCTATTATATATAATTTATATTATATACAGTTTAGGAATCCATATTTTAATAAAATAGGAACTAAAAGCTCAATTTGATATCACTTTTGAAAATTGATAGAATATGCCATTTCCAAACTGAGATCAGTTTTATTTCTTTAATTATAAAAAGTGATCTCAATTAAGCAGCCTCCAAATTAAATACAATCTTCTGTTGTTTTTTTCTTGTTTAATACTAAGAAATATATGATGTACGCCATCATCTCGCTCGTTGTATTACATGTATACTTGAACAAATCAATTTTTTTTTGGTCCATTATTGACATTTTCTCTTATCAGAATAAATACTGATGTTGTTTTATCTTCAATCTGATACATCTATATTTGCAATCATCAGCATGTTCTCTACTTGTGTGGAATGAAGGAGAGGGTAAAATACATTTAATATGGCTCTATAAAGATTTATACCATTTATCAAATCGAGATTGCGTGTCTTCATTCTAATGTTGATAAGAAAATTTAAATATCACGTTATACATCGGTATTAATCTTGTAATCAATAGTATGTTACCAGGGCTTCGTATAGTGCGATCCAAACCAAGTCAAACCGTACCATAATCCATTTGGTTCCAATCTTTTAAAAAATTTAACGATCTAATCTTGTCCCAGTTTCAAAATTTCTGGTCTAAACTGGTCGGAAAGTTTTCAGATGCTTTTAAGAAGTTTTAATAGTTATGCAATGCAATGTCGTCGGTCGTGCTATGTTTTCGAATGTAAAAGAAATATACAGAGAATATCTAACTAATTTTTCTCGGTTTGATTTTTCTTGTTTGAATCACATAAAGGATACTGCCCGCAGCTCAATCGACTTATCGTTTATTAGCTAGGTATGCTGCAGAACTTTGAAATGTTAAATGTACACCAATTCAGACTTTAAAGACAGTTTCTTTAGCTCAGGTCATGTACGACAAGGGTAATACTAGAACAAAATATTTCGAGATAAAAAAATTAATCCATTAGTATTGAACTTAACTACAGATAAGCAACAGCCGAAACAGAGAGGAGAACAGAAGAACTCTAATCGAAGACAGGACTCGTTTAAAGTAAAAAGACATTTGCAGAACAAAAATGTATCACATTACCGACGTTTTTCTCGAGCGAGATATCTAAAAAGAGTTCAAAAAGTGGTTCAAATAGCTGGAAGAATTTCCAGTCAGAAGTGAGGGTAAATAAAAACTCCATTAAAATTTCTGCAGGCTAGGTCTTTTGAAAACCCTAAAAAATCAAGTCCAGGAATTTTAACAAGAACTTTTCATAAGCAGCTCATTCGTGAGAGAACATTTTTGAGTAAAACTAGATGTCGTCGAGCTCTCCATGACGTTTTATCAGCGAACTGCACTCAATTTACGAAAAAATCCTCCACGTCAAAATCAGCAAAATCGGCTTCCCATTCAATCCTCTACAAAAAAATATAGATCGTATAAATAAAAGACTATGGATGAAACTTCAGTCTCCAGTAATTTCTCACTCAAAACTTAACGTAAGAACATTTATTTTCGACGCGGTGCTATGTATCAAGATGAGACCAAAAGGTATGCTCTAGGCTTCGAAGTGTCGTCTTTCTTTTTCGTGTACCTAGGTTTCCTTTAAACATGATTTTGTGGCATAAAAGGCAATTTTACTAAAATTTACCAAAAAAAGTGAAAACTTTGACTGGTTGGCCCCGACAAAGAAAAAGGGACTCAGCTATTCAACTGTTTCTGTTCGGATGTAATAGAATAATTATTTTGTTTTAAGCCGAGACAACCACAGCACCAAAATGTTCGATTTTAGCCGATTTATAACAAAATTTCAGTGTATTCCAAAACTGGAGTTTAAGACCGATGATTTTTACTATAATTGATAAAAGAAAAGATATTCTCCCATAATCAGCCATAATGATGAGAAGTTTTAAATATGGTCAGTTGATAGAGCGTGTCAAGGACTACAAAATAGTAATTTTTCCTTATCGCAAGTTACAAAAGACTAAAATTCAAAAATTATTTTTCAGCCTAGAAAATAATGGAGACCGAAGCTTCAGTGTTTCATTCATAGTCTTTTATTTATACGATGTATAAAGAATGTTCGATATAGTTTTTGTAGAGAATTGAACGGGTAGTCTTTTAAAAAACAATTCAAGCGTTGGCGATGAAAATTGACACAGACATTGGCAAAATACTAGGAGATTCATTTATTCTGGGACACCCTTTATATCCACTAATGCGCCAGAACTAATGTTCCTCTCAGTATTTTCGCAATATCTCGGCCAAGGTTGCTCCACAAGTCTCAATATTTTTTTTAAAATATTCCTCATTCAATTCTCTACACAAAACATATGAACACTTCTTTATCTACTACTTACTAGAATAAAAAAATATAGAGAAATACGGGAAAACTTCGATATCGATTACTTTCAAATCCAAAGTGCCACCAAAAAATATTTATTTTGAACACAGTGCCATGCATCAAAGTGGAATCAAAACGTGTTTTCTGGTGCTTCGAAACGTAATCTTTCTTTTCTTCTTTCATAAGTTCGCTACAAACCTTTTTTTCTGCCACGAACGAAGATTTTACTAAAAGTAAAAAAAGAGAAAATTCGATTTCTCCGTCTTGGTATAAGAAATGAAATGGTGCTATTCGACTTTCTTTGTTCGGATGTAACAGAAGAATTATTTTGCTTTAAGATAAACCAGATCCGACGTCATAATGTATGGTTTTGACTGAATCATACAAATTTTTTTAAGTGCGTCAAAACCGCAGTTAGAAAATGATGGTTTTGGACAAAATCGATAAAAGAAAAAATAATCCTCCTGCAATCACTTGAGCCTATGAAGAATCTTAAAAATAGCCAGTTAATAGAGCTTTTCGAGAACTACAAAATGGCTATTTTCGCTTTTTTTATATCGCAAAATATAAGGGACTGAAATTCAAAAAAACCCGTCTTTTGGGTTTGAAAGTAATCGATATTGAAGCTTTCCCATATTTCCTCTATATTTTTTTATTCTCATAGTATATAAAGAAATGTTCAATATGTTTTGTGTAGAGAATTGAATGTGGAATATTTTTAAAAAAATATTGAGACTTGGCGATCAACCTTGACCGAGATATTGAGAAAATACAGAGAGGGTAATTATTTACCCGTTACCACACGTTTTCATGGTATAATAGTTATCGAGAAGACCATAGCTACTATAAGATGAAAAAATGTTTGCAGCCTCTTAATAGTAACGAAAACCATACATGATAATGATAATTCGAATATTTTTCGTCACTTTCATAATAATTCCAATGTATCTGTACAAAATTCCAAAGTGTGTCTGCAATCACACAATTATTACAAAATCGATTTCACAGAAAGCTAATTCTAGTTCTCTCCATACATCATACTACTCTGGTATAAAGAACAGTTCAATTTTCTATGTAGTTAAACTTTGAGTTTAAAGGAGAAAGACTCTTTTATGTAACCATTTCAAATGCAAAAAGTTGTCTTATAGTAAGTACAGGACTATGACAACTCGTGACACTCGTTCATTATATTGTAATTGAATATGGAATCTGCCAATTTTTATTTAGAAATCGTATTAACGAAAAGTTAATAAAAATCGCACATCTCAATCATCAAAAACATTGGGAAAAAGTTGTAATCAAACGATTTAAAAGGTTATATTAAAAACCTAGCATATACTTGTTTTTTGTTATGTACATATCACATTCGGAGAAATAGAAATGATTAGAAAATTGGTTAAAACTGGAATGAAGCACGTGAGCAGATGTCTTAGTGATTTCATTGAATGATCATCATTCTAGAAGAAAATCAACAAAGTTCATTGTAAAAAATTCTATTAAACATTCTCTTTATGAGTAAATTGAATTTTACGGATAATCTCGTGTGAGACAATTTTGTTCATTTAAAAAATCGCGAATTCTATTGTATCCCTCTTTGACCATATTTTTTTGTTCAACTGGAATACAATACTCACTAAACCAAGAGCATAAATGCTAAAAAGAAAATCATAACAAAATAAAAAACGATAAAAAATTTTGTTTTCTTTTTGCTCTCAAAGTGTATCAAAAATTGGAAAAACAAGGCTGTAACTGACCACAAATCTCAACGAATAAAAATACAACAATTGTTGTCAAAAAAACAAGTAATTTAAAATAGACTAGAGATCAAAAAAAACAAAAAAAAAACGGAATTAATAGTGTAATTTTCATTAATCAATAATAGAAAAGAAATAAAAACAGAAAGAAATATAAACAAAACAACTTTTTGCGGATATCACCGGTTGGCTTTTGCTTCTTACGATTGTATAATGAATTATTTATCGTTTAATTTGTCATCCGAACATAAACTATTAGTGTTCGCTGTTGTATTATTATCGATAGATAATGAAGATTTCATACGTATAAATTCTGTAGATTTCGATTTGACTAATGCTGTGAAATCAGCAAATGATGGTGATGATTTCATTGCTTTTGCACACGTTTTACATACGGGCGCATTTCGATTACTATAGAGACCGGGTAACGGATGATTTACCTGAATACACCGATAACAATAAATTTCACCACAACGCCAACAATTGTACTTTCGTTGAGTGGAATCAAATGGTAATGAACATGAACAGTGTACAGGTGATTTTAATGATTTCCAATCTAATGCAACAGAATTTAGTTCTAATGATAATCTTTCGAGTGTTGGTGAATCATTTTCAATAGAATTGTTATACAATGATTTTGTACTATGTTGTAAATTATTCGGTGAATCTCCACCAAAACCACTTTCAGAATCACTTGGACGTAATATTGAACTTAATTTTGATGTTATCGAATCAGAATTGACTGATTGTATTGTTCGTTCATCAGTTATATTTGGAATTTGTTCCGTTTCACTTAAACCACTATCGATTTCAACAAGTGATACTTTTCGTTTTTGTTGTTCATCTTCATCCTCACCTTCGGCATGATTCTGAGCATTAATCATATCACGCATTTCACGAATACGCTACAATATAAAAAGATTTAAAATAATATAACAGTGCATAATAAAAACACAAATAAAATTTACTTTTTCTAATAATCTTGCATGATCACTAAGTGCTGTTGCATGATCAACAATTCTGGTTAATGTATCCGTTAGATTTTCTTTTGATAATAATGCACTATCAAATCGGTGATACATTCCTAACCAAAACCTTTGAAATAGAAGAATAAAAGAAATGTCATTGTTTCTATTCTTCAAATTCGAACTGACTCTCTCCTGTTTTACCTTAGAGATTGTGACGTAAGATTTGGTAAAAGAACTTCACTTGCATAAGCAGATTGTGGTCGAAATACGGGATTTTTAAAATCATTGACATTTTGAAGAACAAAATTCCAAAATGAATATGTTTTATCTTTAACACTAAAAAAAAATAATCAATGTTTGAAAAAGAATAAATTTGAATTTAATAACGAACTTTAGATCAAGTCGATCTTTTTCACAATTTCCAATAAATGTTCCATATTGACATGATGAAGCATGATCATGTAGTGATATAAGAAAACGTTCATTAAATTCAAATGCTGTCGGATACATTTGGGTTAATTGCCAAACACATTCGATAAACTAGAATATCATAATCAACTGATGTATAACAAAAAGTTTAAATGATAAAAGTAAATGAACCTGTAAAAAAACGGGCGACTGTTCTTTAACATCACCATTAGCCATATGACCACATCTATCAGAAAATTTATGTCCAAATGAAAGCCATTCTTTTTCAATTAACATCTAAAAGATGACAAAAGAAAAATGTTTTATGTATTATTGTAATTTTAATCAATTGTATTACATACTCGAACACCGTGAATTGAACGATAATAGGGACATAATAGTAAGCCTGCTATCGAACATGTTTGTGCTGTTCTATCCCATCCATCACTACAGTGAACTAGAACATTTCGATTTTCGATTTCAATAGCCTAAATTTGAATAATACAAATTTTATAATCATTGAAGAGATAAATATATTAAAATAGAATAATTACTCGTGCAATAAAAACAGCTGTATCTAATATTGCTTGTATATGTTTTAACCAATCTGTTTTTTCTAATCCATTTAAATATTGATTCATCGTTGGATTTTTTAGTTCACATACTAAATAAAAGACTATTTATAATTTTTATTATAATATGATCCAATTGATTACCTTCAAGTAATTTTTGTAAACTATTTCTCATTGTATGAATATTTTCAATGGCACAAAATTTAAATTGAATATTTGAATAATAGTCTTCGTTTTCATAACCTTTTCCTAAAATCAAGTAAAAAGACACACTTACTACTATATTTTTTGAAGAAAAAAATAATAATCTCATGTAAAAATTCAACATATTAATTTACCTGCGGCTCGATTAACAACTGCATTTATCTGAAATAAACATTAAAATTAGTAGACATTTATTTCACCAGTCTAACACTTACTCTTGGTCTTGTATCAACAATATACATTGAGGCTGTAACAGTATTTGTTTTTAATATACACTGGAGTAATTGTTCATCTTCTTGACATCGTGCACTGAATCCAGCCAAAGGTTGACTACATCGAGTAATTGAAGCCTAGAAAAATAATAAATATTAATAATTTAAAATATAAAAGTCGACTCTTTGTTGTTGTTTTTTTTTACTTACACCATTATAATGGAGATATGAAAGTACAGGTAAACGTCCTTCAATATAAAAAAAAAGTTAAATTAATTTTTAATTAATATTGAATTCTACTATTCACAATGGTACCTCGACTACGAAATTTTGAACTACCAAGTAACATTGATTTAGATGCATTTACAGGAACATAAATAATAGGAGGATAAGTGTCACATATATCAAAATTTGAATTAATATCTTCGACTTTCCATTCACGATTTGGACAACCCATTCTCATATATTCTGTTGATAATAAAAATGGATCCCAAACCTTTTCAAGATAAGAGGGTGCTTGAAATTGAAAACAATAGAGTTTTTCGTATGAATCTAAAACAAAAAAAAACATCTTTACCATCTTTTAGAAGTTAAAATAATCAATATTACTAACCGGGTCTTAATTGTAATAGTGTAAAATATAAATCCTGACCATCACGTTCTCTTGGCACAGTAAATTCGGCTGATAAAAAATGTTTTGTACGAATTCTTAATGGGCAACCTTGAGGATTTAATGGTAATTTTTCAACAGATGATATTAATGAATGAAGAATCTAGATAAGAGAAAAAAAAATTTTCTTTTTGAATTTTTTCCAAAAATTTATTTACCCAAGTTTCACGTTTTCCTTCAGGATCAATAAAAATTAAATGAGTAGATGTTAGATAGACAGTTCCTAGAAACAATCAATATTATTTCATTACATACGAACATAAATCATCGAAATTATGTAAATTACCTATTATTTGTTGTCGTACGTTGAATCTATCAGTCAATCGAACGTTTTCCACCTTAAAATAAATAAAATATAACATATTTATCATAGAGATAAAAAAGTACATAAAGAAAATATTTAAAAGTTAAAAATTGCGAAAAATTTCTATTCAAAGTTGATTTAAGTCATTCAATTGTGTGCATGAACACTTTACTAATGAAATAGCGATTAAAATTACTATTTTACCAATTTTTCTTCCATTAAACTTAATTATTGAAGAAATTCGTTTTTGAATAATACATTGAAATTGATAAGAATAAGTTTATCTGTTGATATTGAAACAACAAACAAAAACTAGCGTGACTCTTTGAACATAACAGCAAAAAAATGTTCACTAACTTTGTGTCTTCTTATAAATTAAAATATTCTTTTCATGAGAGAGAGAGAGAGAGAGAGAGAGAGAGAGAGAGAGAGAGAGAGAGAGAGAGAGAGAGAGAGAATAAATGAAACAAATACCAATGTGCAGAACCTAACCACACACGCATATACAATTAACGAATCTACTACTACTACTACTACTACGACTAAGACTTACAGCTTTATTTTTTCTCTGCATTTTGTTTTAGAATTGTTTTCTTCTGCATATAATTATGCGTAGATTCTAGAAAAGAATCTTCTTTTATGAAAAGAAGAAAAATAATATATTCAAATTTTTCGTTTAATTAACGTAAAAATACATTTTAGTTATTCAAAGTGAGAGTGAATTATCAGTAATATTTAAAAGATAAAACAACAAGTTAAATATAAAAAAAAAACCCTTTCTGCTCATATGTGAAACATGAGTTTTTCCCGTGACTATAAAATAAAAAATATATTTTCTTTTTCACTATTTTAACATGCGATAATATTAAAAATGACGCTAAAGACAAAAACATATGTTTGTTCATTCTAATAACTAATTATTAATTTGTACTTAAAAATATGATTTTTGAATATGAAAAAAAAAAAGAAGAAATATTTATTTCATGCAACTTAGTTTCTACTTTTTATCAAGTTTTGTTATACCTTAGAGACAACTTCGTAGTCTTATAAGTTATATGTTCATATTTATTCACTCTTTCTTACTTTGCATGAATGAATATATTCTAAAATAATCGGACTAGCAAACATCTCTTTCTTCATTCTAATAATATAAACAATTAAGTGAAACGATAAAATATTATTTTATAAAATAAAAAAATTTCTCTTCTTTTTACATTTCTCAACTATGACGGAACAAAAAAAATATATTTATATATGATTTTAATATTCTGTTTTTTTTTTTTTTTCTTCATCATCTCTTCATGTCATCTGACAAAATATTATTATCTTAAGAAGTGCAGAGATTATTAAAGATAAAATTGAACTGTAATTGACAATGTTCATACTACACATTTTTCAAGGTCTTTAATAATGAAAAAAAACATAAAAATATACACGTAAGAAAGAAATACGTAACCTATTTACTTGTTAAACGTTTTTAATATAAAATTAAATATAAAAATTAAATCTCAGATAATCATTGTGATTTATCAGACAAAAAACAAAAAAAAAAAATTGTTTTTTGATACTAATAAATAAAAATAAAAAATAAAATTTTACAAACTTTTTACAATTCGTTTTTATTTAGTTTGTTTTCTCTAGAAAATTTTTATTATTTTTATTTCTTTTTACTTCATTATCACAGAAAGATATATTCATTTTTTTTTGTACGTAAAAATCTCAAGTATCACTCGGATGTTCATCTCAAAGAAGAGAAACGACTTAGAAGGAAAACAAAAATAAAATTGTTTCATTTTTTTATCCTTATTCATATCCTACTGATGTTATTATAATGAATTTCTGATAAAAATTCAAATTATGATAATAGAAAAACAAATATTAGAGAGATATTTTAGTAAAATAATCAAAAGTACTATATGTATGTATTTACCTTGAAACAAGCATTTTGTTGTAATAAAATTTTTAATTTATCTATTTTTGATGAAATTTGCTTTGACACATTATCGAATGCAAAGCTAATATTTTCAACAACACGATTCATCTGTTGTTAAACCAAAAAAAAACCTTTACATGTGTATTTTACACAGTGGCTAGTTTTTCTCTTTTCTCATTTTCTTTTTGCATTTGAATTCTTTTATTCTACTTTTTTTGATCGATTTCTTTTTTTCTCTTCTTCTCTCCTTCGTTCTTCTTCATAGTTGTGATTTAGCTTAAAGCCAAAGCTCGTAGATTCTCTTTACATAATTGGCAGAGCTTTAAATATTTAGAGACAACTGGTATTACTAATAAAAAAAAATGTTTTTTGTCGATGTAGTAGACAAAAAAAAAAAGAAAAGGGAAAGAAAAATTCTCCAAGTAACATTATATTATAATATTGATAGAACAACGATATAATGAACATATAGGAAAAGAACTACCGTTTCTATTCTATTTAGGAACAAAAATTTCTTCTCATAGTTGAAACTGAATACCCGTCAGATAATTCCTAAGATTATTTGATTTCTTGCCTTTAAAAGTACATGTTCAACACTAATAAGCAAACATCATAGTGCATATTTCGAAGTAATGTTCAAAATCTAAATCGTCTATGAGAGTGCTGAACAGAATTGCCAGATGGTCCGCATTTTGCGGACAAATTCCTAGTTTATGAGTTTTTTCCGCAATTTATCATTAACATTTCCTGCTTTATCCGTTTTTCCCCTGAGTTAAAATTCCTTTAAACTTATCTTTATCACACTGAAATATATAATTATTTCTTATCAACGCCAGAACTGCTCAAACTTATTCATTCTAATCAAAAATATACATTTAAAAAACAACGTGTCAATTAAAATCAAGATTCACATTTTATTTGTTGTTCTCTTGTGTTTTACGCCAAAGTACAAGAGAAAACACTTTTCTGACTCGCTGAGCGTGAAAAAGGATGAAGTTAGACCATGAAAATGCGTTTCAAAAGGCTAATGTAAAAGACAAGTTCTAACAAAAAGATGATTGAAATACGGGGAGAAGAGTACTTAGTATTGTACTCCACTCTCAGCACAGTTTTTCTATGCAATGTACGCTCGATACCTCAAATATTATTCAATGCCTTTTTCCTTCTGACATTTGAACTGGAATCAGTCATTCGTTCTTCTTCTTTATTGTCATTAAAAATAGCTCTATTTTAGCATCTTTACAGTTGAAAGTAGCCATGTTTATAGTTAAAAACAAACCCAGTGCTGTTACACTTTATTTTGTTTGTTTTTTATCATTCTTTTCCTTATCTCTCTATTTCTTACACTAGTTTACTTCTTTTTTTAATCGTATTTCTCTATTTATAATCTTCTATTGTTGTTTAGCTCGAGTCATTGTTATTATAGGTCGGGGATCTTTGACGATTCTCACTGTTTGTGAATAAAATACTACTACTATCAAAATCACACTTCACTTTATCGAAAGAGTTCTCAGGCAAGGAGTATCCTTCAAGAATATTAAACAACGTTTATGATTAAGCTGTCAATTAGAATAGTTTTCCATTTGTAAAAAGTTTACTTACTGCTCGAAGAGATGCCACAGCGTTCTCCAAGGCCATCGAAGATTGATAAAAACTTGGAGTTTAATAAGAATTAGATTCAAAGAAAGATGTTAAAATGTACATTTTACAACCAGATCTATGTATTTTCACAATTTATTCAACATATTTTGTTTCATTACACTTGGTTTCACTGTGGCGTATTTAACATAAGTATTATACTAATAAAATAGACAAAATATTTGATGATCAATGTTTGCATTTTATTTTTTTTCGTTTAAATGACTCATTGGGCACATCATTGGCTGCATTATACACCAATGAGGATTGCTTTACATTCTCTAGTTAGACTCACAGACCGTCTGTTTTCTCGAACTGATCAAGTAGTTAAAAAGAGACGAATGAATTCTATATCATGACTAATTCCCAGAAACATTACGTCTTTCACAAAGACATTGTAGAGGGAGTGTAAGTCATTGTAAAGATTTTCTTCAATAAAATTATGCAAAAGGTTAGTTATGTGATAAGATTTTTTTAGATAAAGTCTCAGAAATTGTCATCAAAAGATACACTTCTTTAACGATACTTTTAGACGCAAACACTCTAGAGGTATTTAATTTGATGTGAAGCTCATTTTATCTCGTTCTAATCTAATTTAGTCTCTTTGAAAGATTTGTTTCACGTGAAAAAACTAGAACAGTAGTTCAGATATCGTGTATAATAGGGAAGTTCTTGTAAAATAATCATGCTTCAACAGCGAACAAACTAAATGGTATCGAGTTCTCTTGAATACTTACGAGGAAAGGACACCAAGTGATAGATCGCTTCTAGCTTAAAACTTAGCGAACAATAGGTAATCGAGTGTGCTGATTCCGAATACTAACATGAGACGGGCCGCTAGGCCTCCAAAGACTGGATTTCCAGAAAACCAGTTTTCCAGAAACTCC